GGGCGCTGCGGCCGGGCGACTGCGAAGGTGCGGGGTCCCGGGGTCTGCGCTCCGTGGCCGACCTACCTAACTACCGAGTGGGCGGGAGCGGCGACCGATCCCCTCGGGTCCGCTGAGGAAGGGCCTAGAAGTCTTTGGTCTGATGAAAAAAAGTGGAGATTAGATCGTGCTGAAAACGTGGCCAGAAATCCACATAATGCCGGAGATCTGCCCCTTCCCACCACTGTCCAGAGGCTCGCGGGAGCGGCCCCGTTCTGCCAGGTCCCCAAGGGCGGCTGTGCATGCCGCGCCCGTCCACTTCGGGGTTCGGCGATATATTGGAAATGAGCAGCATTTTGATCGCTTTTACTCAGCTTCGTCTCCATTTATGAGGTCTCCCAGTGAGGCCCATTTCAAGGACACGTGTTCGCTTTCGTCTAAACTTGATGAAAGGAGCAGGGAGGAGGCACTGTAGGTCATTGAGGTGATGTCGGTACCCCGCGTGTCGTGGGTGGACCAGGGGATCCTGGCAACCTGGACCCGGGTTCTGCCTACCTACGGGCACCTAAGAGAAGCTGATGATGGAAAATGATGCATCTCTGTGTCGCCTGTTAAAATTAGAGATGCTCCTTCCCTTGGAATAGGGGACCACACGGTGGTGCTGAGCATCTCCCTTCCCTCTCTTTTCCAGTTTGCATTTCTTATCTGGGAAGATTTTATCAGGATCTCAAAGACAGAGATGTCACATTCTCACCAACCACTATTGAGAAAGAACTTATAAAGTTCTGCCGTGAAGCAAGAGGCAAAGAGAATCGCTTGGTGAGTACCTGATGACTCCCAAATGACCCTGGCTCCTCTTCACCCTCTGCTTCTCAGTGGACTGCTGTCTGTCTGTAATGTAGGGAGGAAAGCCTTTTGTGTCCTTCCCCAAGAAATGTATTCTCCAAATTGTGATATTTTTGTCCTGTTAGAATTTATTAAGCACCCACTACAAGCTGGACACTGGAAACATCAGGGAAGAAAAGTAACAATGAATGGGTGTCCTGAAGATGGATCAGCATTAGTCAGTGGTAGGATGGATGCTAATTACACAGCAATCAAGAGGTCTCTCTGAGGCCGTGGCATCAGTGAGGGTGAAAAAGGGATTCATATTGTGCAGAGGTTAACAAGGTGTTCATGGGATAGGCCAGGGCTGAATGAGGACAAGATTCCCAGTGGTCACAAGTTATAAAAGCAATGGCTTTTCTACTTTAATTTCCTTGACAGTCTTTGGTTTGTTAATATTTTTAACCCAGGTGACTCATAAGCTCCCAGACAATGCCTGTTTTTAAGAGATTAGGGTTTACACTGACTACCAGTCCAGGTAGAAATGTTTTGGAAGAAATGATTCTTAGTTGCTACTTCCTGAGGGCTATTATCCTTTTCTTGGTGCAGTGCTACTATATCGGTGCCACAGATGATGCTGCCACGAAAATCATCAATGAGGTGTCAAAGCCTCTGGCCCACCACATCCCTGTGGAGAAGATTTGTGAGAAACTGAAGAAGAAAGACAGCCAGATCTGTGAGCTAAAGTACGGTGAGTGTGACCAGGCCCATCTTCTATAGCCTCTGCACACAGAAAGGAAGGTGATCATCTAGAGCCATGGTGAACGGGCTGTGTAAAATGATAAGAAGACACTCAGTGCTGGGGTGGGGGTAGGGGGACTCTAGCATCAAAGTGGGTGGAGGTCAGAATAGACCCTGTCAAGGAAGTTAGATGAGGTGGGGTTTTGGCCAAGAGGCGAGCTACTGGAAGAGCATTCCAGGCCAAGGGTGTAAGCAGTGTAAAGGCAGCCAATGGCATGACTGGTAGGTGGGCACAGGGAGCTTTGCAGGTTGGTGAGGACTTTAGGTTTAGTCTGAGTGAGATTGGGAGCATTAGAAGTTTTTGAGCAAAGCAGGTATATGGATATATGATCTGACTTGGGTTTAACAAGCTCATATGTCAAGGATGCCTGGTCTGAGGGTTATCTTGATACAAGTTCACCTGATTTCAGATCACTGGTCACAAGTTATAATCAGAGGAAGCTTCTGGCTCCAGGTCTGCCTTATGTTGGGAAATGGAAACTAGAGGATTTATCTGCTTTGTCAACCAGTGTGGAGTTGTCATCTTAGTAACTGTGTAGGAGGCACTTGGGGGATGGGAGCTGTCTCACTCTTATGAACTGTGTGGTATTTCTGAACTAGTGTCCTGTGGTGGACACAGATGTCCTGAGGCAGCCCTCTTGGCCAAGGGATAGATAGTCTGTGCAGGGAAGAACCCTGGCTGCTCCCACCCAGCTTCTTACTGTCCCTTCTCTCTGCAGACAAGCAGATCGACCTGAGCACAGTGGACCTGAAGAAGCTCAGAGTGAAAGAGCTGAAGAAGATCTTAGACGACTGGGGAGAGACATGCAAAGGCTGTGCAGAGAAGTCTGATTACATCAGGAAGATAAACGAACTGATGCCTAAATATGCCCCCAAAGCAGCCAGTGCTCGGACTGATTTATAGTTTACCCAATCCAATTCCTGCTGCCGCAGAGGGGAAGAAGTTTGGCTGTCTCTTGACAAAACAGCCTTTTTGTAATTTATTTTTTAAGCGGGCTCCTGACAATATCAGATATGAAGCCTAGAGCTTTCTTGATGCGGGCTCTATGGTGCCCACATAGTGGGATTCATTTCCTTCTGTTGCTGGTTTACTCTCGGACTTCAAAGTATGTTTGGAATTTTTTTATTAAAAGAAAAAAATCTGCCCTTGGAGAGTTAAAGTGAATGCTGACATAGGATTTTAAGCCCATGATGAAGATCCCCACCATTTTATGATTTCCAGTTTGCAAAGGGTTTTGGGGTATATTCTCATTTGCTGTTCAGCCCATCAGTGCTGACAAGACCAGGGCAGGCCACTGGTTGAGGCCAGCTGATGTGTGTCCCTTTTTCAGGACTGGGATGCATTGGTCACCTCAGCCCAGGGAAAAGGTGAAGTTTGGCACCCTGCACCACCCCACTCCCTTTTTCAGTAGGAGGGGCTGGAGGCTGCCCTGTTCTTGAAGTACACAGGAGGGCCTTACATCTGTCCTCAATATAAGTAGGACCAAGGGTACATGGAGTGTTTTTCCACAATGACTTCAATGCATGTATTCAATGTTGAAACTTATAAAGCTGCTCTTTGCCTGGCTACTTACTTGCTCATCAGGGTTTGTAGCCTAGGTCTAGTGTCTACCAGCCACTTAGGCTATTCTAATTTTTGTAAGACTGGCAGAAGTCAGCTTATACAAAGAAATGGTGTGAGAGAGCTGCCTTTTGCCTACTTACCCTAGATAACAGTCCTGAGGGTTTGTATGGAGTCTGGTATTTGGCTGCTCTCTTTGATGTTGGTTATTAGTTATTAGCGTGAGCTGTGCTTCCTCCTGTGAGACAGCTTGCACAGAGGAAGGTCTAAGAAATTCTGCTTTCTGGAGGAGCTGGTCTTATACATAACTTTATTTGTGTGGTTTCTAAATTCAGTTTACCTGTAAGGGGCCCTCTTACAGCGGGCTAAGGAACCCCCTGCTGTCTCTTCCAAGACCTTACTTGCACTGCTTTCTGAGGAGGGAAAAGCCAGGTGCACTCTTCCTCACCCTATAGGTTCTTCCCTGACGTTGGGTCAGGTCCTGCAATGGTTTCAGCTCTGGCCTTGGAGAATGAAAGCTTTCCAATGGGCTTGAGCAGTCTTCCCTCACACCTGGGGATGAATGGGAAAACATTGGCCAGCAAGAGGTCAGCGTGGCAAACAATGGTAACTGCTGGTATTATCTCTATTTGGTCTCTTCGACGTTGGCTCTTGGCCCTACCTTTTCAGCCTACTGTCCACGGACACCCACAGCAGAAAGTTGGACTGAGAGGCATCAAGGAGCCTATTCCAACTCCGTAAACTGCAAGTAGGTTATCTCTAGCTCTGTGATTGAACCCAGCCAGCCTGGCTGAAACGTAGAACGCTGCAAGTTAAACTGACTGCAGACGATCTCAGGATGTGAGTCCTTCACCATCATGGCAGGGAATGTGTGTCATTCGACCTACTCACGAGTTCAGGGGTATACAACATGTAAAGTGCCCGCTACGTAAAAGCCTGGGACTCAGAAAGCCACAGAAGCTGCCATTCCTACTCCATTTAGCGAGGGCACCAGCTTCGCCAGCGGCCCTCTTGAAAAAACTCCGGTCACAACGTATATCAAACGGTCACTGTGCTAACAGCGCGGTGGCGCCAGAGCTCTAGGAACGACCGCCTTCGTTCGCTGGCCACCTAGTCACGTGGAATGATATGGCGCAGCCAAATGATGCGTCCGGCGCAGCTGTTACCCTCGCAGTCACGTGGGGAGGCCGTCACAGCATGATGACGCAATGCCCCGCCCCTCGGCGC